AAAATACAAATTATATATAAATTATTACCACTGCTATGTTAAATCTTACCGACAATATATTTCGAGTGTTGTTATGTGCCAAACTTAAATACTATGGATGCTATGATGTTGTTTTATCTTTTTTTAAGAACCGTACTGAACGCATGTCCATCAATGACAGCTTATCATCCACCAAAAATATAATTTTAGGTGTACCTCAAGGGTCTATTTTAGGCCCTTTATTGTTTCTTATTTACACGTCATATTTGCCACAGGTACCGAATAATAGTCAATTACAACTCTATGCCGATCCCAGCTTTTACATTGCTTTGAATCTCCTAATATTCGTAATACCAATAATTCAATTAATGCTGATTTGCAATTGATTTCTCAGTATTCTAAAGAACATAATTTAAGTATAAATCCATCTAAAACTTCTGCGGTTCTATTCTGTAGTAAAATTAAGTCTTCGTTTGCAGATTATTCTTCAGGAAATCATTAAAATATTAAATTATTTAGTTTTAATTTCTTTTCAGTTCTCTACTTTCTCCACAAGTTTTTTATTTCCTTCTTCAAGTGTTGACACTCTTAATTTGAAATCAGTTAGTTCTGGTGTCCAAGGATCGTGATACGACAGAATCCGGGTAAAGTGAACCACCTCGCGTTTACAATTCGGGGACGGCCCCTTACGGATTTCGTAAGTTACTTTCCCTTTCTTTTTAGTTATAAAGTAGGGACCAAACCACCTTAATAATAGCTCCTCTGACCTCTCTACCTTTCGTAAAGGTGTGAAGACCTTTACCTTGTCCACTGGCTTAAAATCAAGCACCCCATGTGGGGAGTCATAACGGTCTTTAGACTTAGATTTTCTATTTTCTGTGTTCTCCATCGCTAGGATTCGAGCCCATAGGGCCTTTTCCCTAATTTGTTTGATCTCTATGCTTTTTATTTTCTGCATTAGAGCTGCTTCTGTAGGGAGGATAGGTTCTCTGGCATAAAGTAGTATAAACGGAGAGAACCTTGTTGTATCCTGTATCGTGGTGTTGTAAGCGGATGTCACCAGGGGAAGATACTTATCCCAGTCGGTCTGCTGGGTGTTTACATACATCGATAGCATATTGGCGAGTGGTTTTAAACCTTTCTGTCAGTCCATTGGTACTAGGGTGGTAACTTGTCGTAAATTGACTTACTGTACCCATAACCTTTGTCAATTATGTGACCATTTCTGACATAAAGGTCTGTTCTCGATCGCTAAGCATATATCTAAGCGACCCATGCCGAGCTAGGACGTTCTTTAATATAAACTTAGCCACAGGTCCAGCCTTTCCACTACTAAGGGCTTCTGTTTCTGTCCACCTTGTGGCGTAGTCTGTGGCAACGATGAGTAACGTTTTTCCATTCCTGCTTTTCCTGAATGGCCCAAGTAGGTCAATCCCTACCCGCTCAAATAGTTGCCCTACCTCTTAAGGTTGGAGTAGGCCCACTGGCCTCCTTGTTTCTTGCCCTTTTCTCGCTTGGAAATCGCTACAACCCTTGACGTACTTTTCCACGTCCTTCTGCAGGTTTTTCTGGTAAAACCTGCTCGCAACCCTGTGTAATGTTTTTGTTATGCCTAGATGACCGGACAAGGGCTCCTTGTGCATTGAGAACAGGACTTCCGCTTGCCAAAAGGTTATCTACTTCTGCTATGTTGCTGTTTGCCTTATGCAGTACGCCATTTATCAATCTAAAATTCTTATATCTTCTAGCCACTCCCATAGGGACACTTGAGGGGTCTTCCAGAGCTTGAAATATTAGTGTCGGGTCCGCATCCTTCCTTTGCCCCGTTACTAGATCCTCGGGAAGGGCTAGGAATGTTGGGACTTCTTTCAGCTCACTTATATCTGGTCCCAGGGTATCTGTCGTAGGATTCTGGACAGGCAGTCAGCATCGCTGTGCTTCTTTCCACTTTTGTGCACAATTTCGTACTCGTACTCTGATAACTTGAGGGCCCACTGGGCTAAGCGCAGATCTCTGAGAGAAAGAGAGAGAGAGAAAGAGAGATACTACCAAAAGGAATAGTCCTTGTAGGGAAAACCCTTTCCCCGCCCTCTAAATCATCGTCAGGAAGTTAGGGTTCCTTATGCCCACCCCGTTTGAACTTAACCCCCTAGCCGTGTGTTATCTAGAGGCCAATTTAAAAACAAATTGGGCCCCTCTATATAACCCGTGGTTACCGCTAAGAGACTTTAGGGTCAGTCAAAAGGGCCTATAATCTCACTCTTAACAGTATTTTTTAATATTTTAACGTAATATTCAAGCTCATCAAACCAAAGTCGGATACTCTTTCCTCTATCTGGCTTCTAAAAAAAAAGTCCTCCAACCCAAAATACCGAAACCTGTCTTATCCCTTGCATACTCCCTCTACAAAAAAAAACCCTTTTTTTGTTATTTTCTTTGCGGAACCCCCACAAAGGCTTTGCGGAGCAGAAGGGCTCCGCGGAGCACACTTTGAGTATCGCTGCTCTAGTCAATGGCTTACAATGAACTAGAGAATTATTCAAGATAGTACGTTAACATTCTAAGAAGTAAAACTGTTACGTACATTTTGTGTTTAAGACTAGACAAAAAAAAATCGAGTGAGGACTGAGGTCCAAAACTCTTGCCGAAAGGCGAGACTCTCGTATCGGGACCCTAAGTTCCGAAAGACCGAAATGTGCATAGTAAAGTTTTGTGCAATAATTTGTGTACTATAGGTAAAATTTTTAACTTATTTTTAAAGTGTTTTGTTTGAGATAATTAATTGATTTACACATAAATTCCAATTTTTACAATTTCGTCCCGAGTGTTATATTTATCTTATATATTATCCTGAACTACGTGTTGATGCAATTTGCGCGATGTTGTCAACATTAGTTAAAATAATTTAATGGGACCATATTCCTTGTTTGGCCATTCTCCTCTACTATTCAATAGAACACAAGCAAGAGGGATACTCCATTTGAGGTTTCAATACAGGAAAGAGCAAAGATCACCATAAGGGAGTCCACTGCCCAACGACAGGAACAAACCTGGTATACAGACGGGTCTAAGACTGCGGCAGGTACTGGGGCAGAATATTCTCTAAAAACCCTGATACTAACCATAGCTATGTGCAAAAACGAACAATGAAAGAGCTGTCGAAAACCAGCATAATGTCAGACAGCCAAAAGGCACTTAAGGCCATATCGAGTCAGAAAGTTACGTCGAGGCTGGTATGGGAATACATCGAAGAACTAAGAACACTGGCACACCGAAATAGAGTAAAACTATTTTGGGTGCCTGGGCACCAACGGATCGAAGGCAACGAAAAGGCTGACGAACTTGCAAAAAGAGGGTCAGAAGAAACACCGGAACTAGACACAAACCCAGGAGTACCAAAAAGTACAGTCCGGGGTTTCATAAACGACTGGATTCGGGAACAATATATTAACTATTGGGGAAGCACCCCAAAACAAGGCACATGGAAAAGCCTTTATAGGCAGACCATGTCCCAAAAGAACTACTCTTTATCCAACAACGTATAGAACCCACTCACCCAAGGATCTGTACAAACTTGTACAAGGTGACAGAGTGGGTGCTATAAACTAACATGGGGTATAACACAATAAGCCTATAGGCTTCAGTGTTATTCGGAAACATAGTCAGACGAGGCCAGGAGAGAAACAAAAGTGGGATTGAAGGTTGTATATAGAATCCGCTTAAAATGAACTAAATAGGGATTTGAGAACCCGGTTAAAGATACAGACTCGGTTATAGCAGGGACAGAAGTTGAAAAGGCTTTTTGCAGTTCTCCTACTTCATACACAGTTTTGCGGCGGAGGTAACCGAAGTGGACGCGATCCATTGGCATACGAAATTATTTTATATTTTTTATAATTTTTATATTTATATTTATATATAATTTTGGGTAAATAGTTTCATAAATTGTGGAACAGGTGTTAAAATTTTGTAGAATTATGATTTGGGATATTAAAATACTAGTTTAATGATTATTTCTAGTCCATAAATACATGCGATTTAAAGTACTTATTCTATGAAACGCCACTTATAGATAAACATAACCGCGAAATTCTCGAAGTCACCAAACGTGGTTTGACGTTTACCCCTCTTTACCTACCAAAAGCCTTTCCAAATTCTGCTCCTGCTAATAGAATAAAAGTTGCATACCTAGAGGGGTATTAATGCGTATGAAAAGATATATTTATATACCACATATTTTCAATCATTAATTTTTCTTCTAATGTTTAGTTTTATAAGAAAATTAAATGATTTATATATGTTTTTCTACATAAATTCAATAATTATGTTCATTGAATAATTTATTTAATTGTTTTGTAACTATGTATTTAAAACAATTAATAACCATAAGATGATCGGTAATTTTTCCATTAATATTCCATTAGGTATAATGGTAAATAAAAACATAATATACAAGGTAGTTATATAAGTAAACTGAAAAATAATATAGGTATTGTAAAAAAATGATTCAAGTTCAATAGTGACTAGTTTATCCCACAAAAGGCAGCCTGAGGGATTTTCGAGTTGAAATCTTTGCCATATTCTTAGGATATTTTAAAGGCAATTTTTTGTTACATTAAAAAATTATTCTTTTCGTTTTTTGCAAAAATCAAGGTGCCCTGCTAGCTTCAAACGAAGGCAGCAGTGTACTTCGATTTTTTAAAGTTTTTTTTTTGTGAAAACAACCACACCGTATTTTTAGGCCCTTAATTTTTTTAACTGTTCGAATTCTGAAAACTGTTTAACTTGAGCGATGATCTCCAAAATATGTATAATAGATAGCATATTTAATATTTAATTGGAGAATATACCAGACCATAATAGTAAAACATTTTCATTGCATGGTTGCTTAAGACGTATCAAGGCATAACAAAACTAACACTTTTACATATTTCTTCTTTGTTGCCTCCATGTTAGAGAAGCGTAGATGAAAATCCACAAGAATTTTTATTAATAACGATAAAAAACAAATATCTACTCACTTAATAACAATATCCCTGTCCATTTTAGAGTGACCATCAGGAACACTTCTCATTCAAAACTAACACCAAAAGAAAAAGAAGATGAACTAAAACCAAACAGCTACATTAATTAACAGAATCGTTAGAATAGGTATTTCACAACGCGAAAAACAGATATTATTAAAATTAACACTACACTGCACTAATTTTAACACCAACACGTGCAAATTTTTTTATATATTTTTTAACTTTTAATTTAAATAAATTCAATTTTTTTCTTTCTAACTACCACGTAACAAAAAGCCTCCGCAATATGCATAAAAATAAACTCCTAGCACCTCTTCGTCAGTAATTAAAATTATAATTACACCGCGACTCTCGGGACACGCGCGACTTTCCCGATTTATCCAGAGAGAGCGAACCACCTGAAAACAGCGTCCGCGTGTTCCAGGATTTGTCGCACAACTGAAGTTTCAGATCCGTTCCAGCCTACCAAATCTCCTGCAGTGTGCACTGTTGCCGCAGTCACGATTCTGTCAGACGGTCTGGATATGATTTAGGGTTTGTTTTTCCTTTTCCCCGTGTGTTCCTTGGGTTTTCCGTGAATATATTGGGCCGTTCACGGAATCTAGTCGAGAGATTAGAGGTTTCGGATGTGATAAGGGCTGCGGTTTGATGAAGATTTATGGAGATTGTGATTGCGAGTAGGTTTCTGAAGTGACCCAAGGCGACGTTGCTTTAACTTATTTTTTTAATAATAACATTAATACACATCGTTACCTTATTTCTAATAGGGCCTATCCGCATTTAGCAAATTTTACAGGGCAGTTAAAAAACATATTGTACCTTTGATATATGTATCAAATTTAATAATGAACATTATTTGTCATTAATTAGAACTGTTATTGTTAGTGAAACTGAATGTATCTTCATAATATTATAAACATATATAGGGTGTGGGTTACGACATATTGTCATTGCACTTGGTCGTGGAATAAGGCCTATTACTATTATAGATATTCCACAAAAATGCAACATTCATTTGAGTTACAACATAAAATAAAATATTCCAGAATGCCAATGGTTTATTTCTAAAAATAGGCTACAAAATATATTTATACATTGTATTAACATCCGCTAACTTCGTTTCTTTACTTCTGAAGTTTTAGTAGTTGTTGCTTCATCGTTACGCGTCTTAGTGTTTAACTTGTTCGTTTGTTCTGTTTTCTTCTTTTGGATTGTTGAACGTTTTTTATTATTTTTTTTATCTCTTTATTCTTGGTCTTTGAGTTTAACTTATTCGTTTCTCTTTACTTTTTCTTTTGATGTATTGGATGTGTTTCAATGTTCTTATAACTACTGGTAGTATTCTCATTTATAAATTCGATGTTATCGTAAAAAAAGTGAGTATCTATTGGTAATACCCTTTTTAATTCTTGCAAGTGTGTCCACTTTTTTTTTGTTATTTTTAGTCTTGTCTTGTACAAAGGTTTAAGCTCGTAATTATGGTTGATAGTTTGTGATCTTTGTGGAAGAGGTAAGTATGCCTCATTATAATTAAGCTTGTATAATATGTTTCCATTCGGTAGATATTTTAGACAGGATATATCTGCAACTTTGGGATCATTTACGCGATTTCCTGGTCTTATGGAGTCATATCGTAATATATTATTGTCGTCAAAATTAAAAAAATAACTGTGGTTCAAGTATTCCACCTGCAAGGGTTGTGGTTTTTGTCTCGCTGAGGTAATAACTGATATATAATCAGTAGGCAAATAGATATCTCTTCCTTTAATGTGACGTTCAATAAGACTGTGAGTAGCATCACACTCCATCTGAGTATGACCTTTCACGAGATATTTATGCTCAATCTCTACATTGTTTTTACATGCCAAAATACATAAGGCACTTGCAAGATATTTATTTTTATTCTAGTATCCACAACTGTCAGAATATAACACAACAGATCTTACTTCACAGTCAAGGGTTGTCTGAATATGCTTAAAGATGCATGTCGCAAAAACTGATGAGCAAAGTTCACCTTCTGTTTCATTCCATAAATAGTTTTTACTATCGTGAGATTCTAAATTGTATATGGTGAAGTTATGTACTTGTAGTTTAGTTTTATAATATAAAGCACTTGCTTCAAGTTTTGGGCACAGCTTCACAGCCTGTACATCCATTGTAAAGCAGTAAATTTCTTTATTTTTACACCTTATTTTGTCTTCATCTTTTTCTTTCCTAGCTTGGTTTTTCGCTAATTTGTGCTTATTGTAGCTGTCTTCATCCAACTGCTTCATTTTATAAGCGCAACAAACGTCGCACTGGCCCTTCCGAGGTTTAAAAAGAGCAAGTTTCTTTTGGTCAAATATTAACATAAATGGAAAATAGTCAAGGGCAAAATTTCTTCATCTAAGCATATTTTTTTATACAAATCGTACACTTCGGCCTTTGTTTTAAAGTCTTGTTCTAAGTAATATTTGTTTGATCTTTGTCGGCAATAATGACTTTCCATTTTGGGTAAATTGTCTAAAAATGTTTCAAGATGTTTTTTTCTTTGTTCTTGTTTTTTACCAGTTTCCGATTTGGACCTTCTCTCAGACTTGTTTTCATTTTTCTTTTCCTGGGTATGCATCATACCGAAGGTATTTTCATCGTTAACCCATATTCTGACCATTTTCTCAGTTATTCCAAGAGTGCTTAAAAATAAGCTTTTACAAATTTGATGTTTACCTGTGTCAACTTTTAGGTAATAATCGTAGGAACCAGTTCTTCTGGATGGAGTTTGCGTATAACTCCTTTTTATGCTGTGATAATGACTCATATGTACAACAAACAATTTCTTCTGATCCCAGTTCATCGACCAAAAATTGTCAAAAAGTTCTTTTCGTACCTTATTAGTAAATAGGTGACAATACCGGTTCGAAGCTTTTTTACAAAATTGAGAGCTGCAACTGGATCCCATTTTACGACTACCTCTTTCAATATTGTGCTTGATGGTCCCATCTTTGTTTCTTGTGTAACCTACGTATTTTTGTCCCAACATCCGTTTCTTTTTATTAATGTTCTTGTCCCATTCTTCAGGAATTGCTACTTTTTCTCTCTTTCTTTTATCAGTTTGTTTGCCGTCAGACTTTTTGTTATTATTTCCGCTACTAAGATCTTCCGTAGAACTGTCCTTATTTTCATTTTGTAACAGATTTTCTTCCATTGGTGTATAATCTGGATCATCAACATAATTTGGACTTACTATTTCTCTATCCTCTGCTGCAATCACGTCTTGTATAATACAGTTGAGATCGCTGTAATTATAATCAGTTATTTTTTTGGATATTCCTTTATCTGTGGTACAAATATTTTCTTTTTCTCTCATTTCATCAAACAGTATCAATTCATTTTCAGGATTGGTACTTATTTCTATAAATTCACTGTTCTTATCTAAATAAATATCCAAATCATCTGTAGAGTCTTTCAGAACTTCCACTTCGTATGGTACATTAATAAGCATAGCTTGTATATTTAAAGAATTTGATTTTTGTTGTAACGCGAGAGCCATTATTTTTGAGGCTCGTGAGGACATCTGAAACAAAGAACATCTAATTCTAATAGGTTGTATACCACAAAATCAACTAATTCTAATAGGGCGTATTCCACATCTAATTCTAATAGGTTGTATACCACAAAAATAATTAATTCTAATAGGGCGTATTCCAAATTCAATTTTTAAAGCAGTATTTTCAATAAATTTAAAGAATATTTTGCATAACCTCTTCGTATATAAAGAACACATACTTATTAACTTATAAGTATCAAAACTTACCTTAAAAAACTTATTGTAAAACAACCAAAAATAAAAAAATCATATGAAACACGCCTACACCGCTGCTTGCACATATAAGTATTATGGAGAAACTGTTGAATACGCCTTATTAGAGTCACATGTTATTATACGCCATCTTAGAATCTGTCAATTAAAGGTATTTTGGAGGGGGATAATCGTGCAGACCGTTTGAAGGTAGGTGAGGGAACTGTTTCGTGATGGACTGGCGCCAAAATACAAAAATTCGATTTTTGTGGGATAGGCCCTATTAGAAATAAGGTAACGACATTATAGATAAATATTAAAAGTTAATAATGTACAATGGTAAACAAAGCAAGTGGTGATATGTCAATTTAACAAAAAAAAATGTATATCAGACGAACCCTTGGTATTATAATTAAGTTTAAAATGCTGACTAGTGCCATGAAACAGTTATCATACTAGATAAAGTGATAGGAAATCTGTAAGTCTGGATTTATCAACAAATTTTGATCCATATTTGAGAATATTTTGCAAGGTTGCATACACTATAAGTTACATTATATCCAACCCTTATTCAAATGTACATCTTAAAAAAAATATCAACTGAAGTAACATGTACATGACAGTATTTATTTAAAAAGCTAATAAAATCATAAACTACACTCACCGACTTAAAATTCGATCCATTAAAAATAATGATTTATTTAAAAATGCTCTAACTTTTAAATACGGAGAATAAACTACAAAATCAGTAGAGTGTTGGGGCCCACAACTCACAACATGACAACTGTCAAATATTCATTACAGTTCATCAAATTTCTAGAGGTGTTCGACGCCCAGACAGAGAACGCGCTACGTGTGACTAAGATAGCTATTGTACAGTCTGCTAAACAAGTTATTTTAAATAGTTTTTAATATTATTTTTAGGTAATTAAATTTTAAAAGTGTGGAATAGTTTAGGGATTAAATTGGTCTGATTGGACTTTCTTAGAACGTTTTTAAAAGCAGCTAAAGATAGTATGTAGAATTGAAAATAATTATTATGCCATAAAAGGTGTTTTGGAATTCCTTCAACCTTTTGAAATTGAGTCAGAAAATATAAATTTTATAGGATAGCGGAAAATACCTATAATTTTTTTGTAGGCCTTTGTAAATCGTGGAAATAGTTTATATTTTATTTCTACCTTATTAAGGAAAATGGTACCTATTATTAATAACGGTTGTTTCTGAAACATTACTAAAATTTTCGAAATTTTGTTTTTCTACAAAATAATAAACTATACTATTTAGAAAAAAATTTATTTCTCTTATAATTTTATAAAAAATAACAGGGGAATATTTACATTTCTTGATCTATTAAACAAAACGATAAATTATCTCGACGAATGACACCATGTTCTAGTACGGAAGCTAGCTTTACATTTTTGTTGGTGGTTTCATGGGTTTCATATCAATTTTTTGTAATTGTAGTTTACACGTACATATACCTCTTAACACTTGTTTGCTTTATTAAAAAAGTGTGTTGTTGTGATTTACGTCGAAATAAGTCAAAAACAACTTGAAACCCCATATAAAATCAAAAAGGAGAAACGGAAAAAAATTGAGCCTGTAAATGAACACAACTCAGAAACAAAAATAGCTATCTAATAATAAAA